GCATCAGCCAGTCATCTCAGTCAACCCATGGCACCTGGGTCTGTCGCGTGACCTCCTACCAGCGGGCGTTCGACACTTCACGTGGCCTCAACGTGCACTTAGCCTGGCACAAGCGCCGCGGTGACTTCACCGCCACTTAGTTGCGAGTGGCGGTTGTTGTTGGTGGCCAGTGTGGCGGTGGTGGCGGTGGTGGTGGTGGCTGTTGTTCTTGGCATTCCATGTACAGTACTGTAATTCTGGTGCCCAGAGGAACAGCACAGAGGGAGCGAGTGGGGGGGGGGGGATGAAAGGGGAAAGAGAGATGGGAGTGGGCAGCTATGTACGAGGATATTTATTTATTTGTTATTTAAAACTAGCGGGGAGCCCACTGAGGCTTCACGGCGGTAAATTACTTTGAGGGCTTCGCGGTTTGTCCCGTCAACCCCCCTGCCCGCCCGCCCGCCCGCCCGCCCGCCCCCACCTGTCCATTGTGTGATCTTGAACATGGATTGCGTTACACTGCGCGATATTGTAGACGGTCGAGCGGATAAGCAGCCCCAGGTGCTGATCAACCGAATGATCAGGTCTAACGTATAAAAACAAATTAAATATTTGCAACTTTTGAACCTCTTTTTGTATGAAGTAGACATCGCAAGCCTGCGGGTGACACGCGAGTCGCCGAGCTTGATGGAGTGTTTCAAAAGGCGTCGAGGCGAGCGTGCGTCCAGACGCGTCGAGCAGACTTCAGAGTTTGGTGACGCTGCCGCCGCGGTGCAGAGACAGCGCCACTCACGAGCACTGCGTGGCCTGAGAAGGGCAACATACAGACGATGTTTCTGGCGACGACCCTTCTTCAGAGCACGTTGCTGCTGTCCCTGTGTGCTATTAAGGAGGGCCATTGCTTCAAATATTGCCTTTCATATCCTGTGCACACATTTAAAGCCAGAGTTACTGACGAATTGAGGTGAGTTTTTTCTTGTTGTTATGTAATGGATATTTCGTAACATTGCAATGCATTTAGTAACAACAAGGCTGGGGGGGGCTCGTGGTTGCTGGGTCCCCGTGGTGTTGAGGCGCTACGCCCTCTCCATCTCGAGGCTCGAGGCGTGAGCAGCAGTGCGTGTGGACGGTCTTTACCCTGCTGATGAGTCCTGATGATAAGGAAACTAGTCCGAGGGACTTTCTCTCTCTCTCTCTGCTTGCTCTGTTGGGACTGCCACGTCTCTCATGGTGCAAATTTGTTTTTTGACGAATTCTGAGGTGATGCTGCTGCTACTGCTGCTACTGCTGCTGCTGCTGATGCTGCTGCTGCTACTGCTGCTGCATTGCCAGTGATGGCACGAGCACAAATAACTAACAGCGACGAAACACCTCCCAGTGCATTCTTCAAACACACTGCGGTCTTAAAAAGACATGTGTCAAAGGGAACCTGTCGGGCGTATTTGCTGTTTTGGGTGAGGCCACGTGGTGGATTCACGCCAAAGATTCTCGTCATTTTTAAGCTGCTGCCTCGAGCTATAACATAGCCACAGGTTTTGCGCTCTCCTCGGTCTCCTGGTTTTGGCAAGGCTGAAACCATTGCACGCGCAATGCCGTGGTCACGGGGCATGCGTGCAAGGATTATGGGATGGGAGTCGGTGCCTTCGTGCTGTTTGCGAGCGGCGTACCGTTGCGTGTTATTCACTCAGGTTCAGCACGGCTGGGGATGTACGTTGCTAATAAAGTTCAACATACTTACGTGCATACGGACTGTAGCAGCAAAACAATAATCTTGGTAGTTTTTGGTGGTTTGGTCACATCGCGGCCAGTACGGTCAATGACCAATGGGTGTAGCATCTCTTCTGGATAAATCAAGGATGCCACCAGCTCATTGATGATACGAATAATGCAAATTATAATGTGCACGATATTTCACTGACACAAGAAACGGAGCGTGACTCCTGAGGCTCGGAGCCAAGCTCAATGTCACTCTGAAGCGGGGCGAGAGAGAGGCTGGGGTCTTCAGGTGTCTCTTGAAGGAGGCGGGGATTTCATGCTGCTCCTGCTGTGAATGAGCAGCAGCGGGACGATGACGATGATGGTGGTTATGGTCGTGGTGGTGGTCGTGGTGGTGGTGGTCGTGGTGGTGGTGGTCGTGGTGGTGGTGGTCGTGTTCCTCCTGCTCCTGGGTGTAGAGAGGAGCAGGAGGAAGCTGTGAGTCACGCTGCTGCTACAGAGAGTTCCATTGTGAGCGGTGGTGCAGGGAGACAGTAGCTGTGGTGCAGGGTGACAGGGGCTGTGGTGCAGGGTGACAGGGGCTGTGGTGCAGGGAGACAGGAGCTGTGGTGCAGGGTGACAGGAGCTGTGGTGCAGGGTGACAGGGGCTGTGGTGCAGGGAGACAGGAGCTGTGGTGCAGGGTGACAGGAGCTGTGGTGCAGGGTGACAGGGGCTGTGGTGCAGGGTGACAGGAGCTGTGGTGCAGGGTGACAGGAGCTGTGGTGCAGGGTGACAGGAGCTGTGGTGCAGGGTGACAGGGGCTGTGGTGCAGGGTGACAGGAGCTGTAGTGCAGGGTGACAGGGCCTGTGGTGCAGGGTGACAGGGGCTGTAGTGCAGGGTGACAGGAGCTGTGGTGCAGGGTGACAGGAGCTGTAGTGCAGGGTGACAGGGGCTGTGGTGCAGGGTGACAGGAGCTGTGGTGCAGGGTGACAGGAGCTGTGGTGCAGGGTGACAGGAGCTGTGGTGCAGGGTGACAGGAGCTGTGGTGCAGGGTGACAGGGGCTGTGGTGCAGGGTGACAGGAGCTGTAGTGCAGGGTGACAGGGCCTGTGGTGCAGGGTGACAGGGGCTGTAGTGCAGGGTGACAGGAGCTGTGGTGCAGGGTGACAGGAGCTGTGGTGCAGGGTGACAGGAGCTGTGGTGCAGGGTGACAGGAGCTGTGGTGCAGGGTGAGAGGAGCTGTGGTGCAGGGTGACAGGAGCTGTGGTGCAGGGTGACAGGAGCTGTGGTGCAGGGTGACAGGAGCTGTGGTGCAGGGTGACAGGAGCTGTAGTGCAGGGTGACAGGAGCTGTGGTGCAGGGTGACAGGAGCTGTGGTGCAGGGTGACAGGAGCTGTGGTGCAGGGTGACAGGAGCTGTGGTGCAGGGTGACAGGAGCTGTGGTGCAGGGTGACAGGAGCTGTGGTGCAGGGTGACAGGAGCTGTGGTGCAGGGAGACAGGAGCTGTGGTGCAGGGAGACAGAAGCTGTGGTGCAGGGAGACAGGAGCTGTGGCACAGGCAGCGGGTTATTTTGCAGCTGCCATTGCTGGCGGTGGTGGCAAGCAGGGGCACGTGATCTCACAGCTGACCCCACTGGTGATGAGAAGTCAATGGAGGGAGCAAAGAGAGGCGAGGGGATCATGAGGAGGATGACGCGGCCTGATTGTTTTGACCAAGCCATCCACGTATGAAAGAGAGGGTCCTCGCTTATAAACGTCTGCCATTGCGTCAGCGTTGTGTCAAGAAAGCCCGATTCTGCCGATAAGACGCCCTGTCGAAATCGGTTCAGAGTTTGCTTGGTTGACCCCAAAAAAATGCAAAAATTATGCAATCCGAGAGGGCTGTGAGGCCGATGGAATGTATAGAAAGAAGTATAACTTTCATTTTGTTTACGCGGAGGGAGAGATATGAGAAGCAGGCGAATTGTCTGCTCAATTTATTTTGGGAAAAACTGGAGGACCCGGAGAGAAATCCACGCGACCATGGGGGGAACATGGAAACTCCGTATATACAGGCGTTAAAGTCAGGATATAACCCACGACATCCTGTACACCGGGCGAGGTAATGAACATCTCACCAGGTGAAGACCCTGGGGAGGTAACACGTCTCCCAGGCGTCGTTTCGCTGGCGACAACCACGGAGCCGCCAGCTGCCCTCCAGGTCGCCAGGGGTCAACTGAGGGGAGTGTGGAGATATTCTTAGAGTTGGCGGTCCTCATTGGAATTGCCGGAGGCTCATTGAGCCAAACTACATCCGGCGCTCCAGAGTGACCGAGCTGCACCGTACTTATCTCGGTCAGTGAGGACGAGGCGCTCAGCTCTACAAGCGCAGGCTTTGGGCCTAATGCCTCGCTCTCTCTCTTTGTCGCTGCGCCACGCCATAAAACATTCAGGGGGCGACTTTTAGAAATGCGTGCAGACC